CGTGTGTGTGTGCGTGTGTGATGACACCTTAGGCGTCCAAAGGACAGCGCCTTATCGCCTAGGCGACGTGCGTGCGTGTGTGTGTGTGTGTGTGTGTGTGTGTGATGACACCTTAGGCGTCCAAGGGACAGCGCCTTATCGCCTAGGCGACGCCTTACAAACTATGGTTTGGTGTGGGTTTAAAAGTGATACAATCAAATCAATTCACTGTATATATTTCTAGTTTAGATACCAATGTATACTCCTATCGCCTCACCTTTAGGTTCTCGTTTTTTTTTTCACGGAGTTCAAGAAAAAGTATAATCGTGTGTTTTAGATCTTTGCAGGGATAATGAATGAACCATAAAAAGTCTTTCCTTAAAAGGAAAGCGTTAATTTAAATGTGGGACAGAGGGGGTATTTTTAAATTAACAAGGCATGTTTATTCTCAAAAAGTTCATACATAGCTGTTTATGATATATATATATATATATATATATATATATATATATGATTATGCTAATCTAATTGATAGAATTGAACATGTAGAAGTATTATTATAGTATCTTCTTCCTTCCCCCAAACCTTAGCCATTATTCCTTTTATGCTGGTCCTAAAGAATTGGTCCCTTTTAAGGGAAGAAATATGTGGTGATGTTGTAGACATTCTAGTCACAATTTCTTCAGGAGTAATGAGATGAGATTCAAAAACCATTATCATTTATCATTGTATGTCAATTTCACTTGCATGGAAATGATTGTGAGATTATGATGAATTAAGATTGTAGTTATTGTCCCTTTCACAATTGATATTTGATAGTACATGCATATTGGTCGTGTGAATTATTAAAAATTACTGGCTTATTTCCATTTCAACATACTCCTTGTCTATGAGTTCTTTAGAGTTACTATTCATGTGGTTAAACTATTTCGTTTTTCTTTACATATTTTCATATATCAGTTGATAGAATAATAGTCATGTCACCTCTCTTTTTTAATTTTTTCCATTTATTAAATAAAGCAAATAAAAAATAATTTTAATCAAACATCGTAAACCATAATGTAAATACTCATTATCCCTTTTCATCTTCCATCTCTCCTATTAAAGAATTGTGTGGTTCATATTATTTCTGGCTCATTTGCAAAAATCAACCACACCGTTTCACTTCTATTAAATAGGGATGGAGGTAGTATAATACGGAGTAGGATTTAGTATAGTGTAGTGGTCTTTGTAGGTATCCCAACCAATTGCCATCCTTCAAATGAGCAAGAAATGGATAATAACATTTTATTTTGCTGGTAATCATTGATATTATTTTCTTGATGACCTAGATGTATCTTCCAGACAAGCATTTACCCTATGTTTGGTTTGTTGAATTCAAAAGAGAAGAAAATAAAGTAGATTTCTTTCCTTTTCCTCACCAAAATAGAAGGAAACCTGTTTTCCCTCTTTTAATTCATTTCTTCTTTTATTTTCTTTTTCTTCCACTTTTCTTTTCTTTTCCTCTCTAATCAAACAAGAAAAGTTGTTTTCCCTTTCATTTCCTTTTCTTTTTCCTTTTCAAATTCCTTGAACCAGACATAGTGTTAATTTTGTGGAATTCTTGTTCTGCATTCCGTGGTGTCTCTAAAAATTATTCATGATGAAATTTTATTTGACTGCCTTATTTGCGAAACTGCTAATCAGCTTTAACCGCATGACAGGGAGGAAACCTGAGTGTCTAACTCATTTACATAATTTGCAGATTATTGCAATTGTATGTATGTTCCTTGCCGGAAAGGTTGAAGAAACACCTCGAGCCTTAAAGGATGTTATAGTTGTCTCGTACGAGATTATTTATAAGAAGGATCCGAAAGCAATACAAAGGATTAAGCAAAGGGTATTGGCATAAGATAATATCACTTACTGTATCAATGTGTATACTATTGTGGTACACTATTGCTATCGTTTTCCGATTTTTATCTTCTTTGTCGGTCATTGTTCTATGGTGAAAATTACTTTGGTGGTTGGCTATGATATTTTCATATCTCAACTTTATAATATATTTTGACATTCCAATGCAGGAAGTCTATGAACAACAAAAAGAACTGATTTTGATGGGAGAGAGGGTAGTTCTCGCAACACTTGGATTTGAGCTTAATGTGCATCATCCATATAAACCCCTTGTTGTGGCACTTCAAAAATTCAAGGTTGCACAAAATACACTTGTTCAAGTTGCTTGGAATTTTGTTAACGATGGGTAGGATTGCTTTATTGTGGTTTTGTTGTGTATGGAGATGATCCAGTGGGATCCTTCTTTTTCTCTTTTGATGACCTGGGAAAGCCACGTGCAGGCTTCGGACATCTTTATGCTTGCAATTTAAGCCCCATCACATTGCAGCAGGTGCCATTTTTCTTGCCGCCAAGTTTCTCAAAGTTAAGCTTCCACATGACAATGAGAAGGTTTGGTGGCAGGAGTTTGATGTCACCCCACATCAATTGGAGGGTGGGATGGTGTTTTCCTTTAGATATACATTCAATCTCATAGATATACTTGTGGTATTGAGTTAACTGACTCTTATTTACTATATTTATGGCTCTCATTTGCAAAGTTTTCGTTAGACACGCTCTAGCATCTAGGATTTGTTTAATGTATTATTATGCACACACATGCACTTCTTTATATTTATAGTTTTGTGGTTCTTTTGCTGGGTGGTGATGTATACTCATGTTCCTAAGTTATGAGTGGCATAGACGATGATGCTGATGTAGGATGGATGTATGGTTATACAGAAATTGATAAGATCTAAAGTGAGGTTTCAGGGAGGGTGGGAGTGGGAAATAAATGACGGGAAAATTGAGATGGCGAATGCCCCATTGAGGAGGTGTGAGAGCCTTGAGGTAGAAGGTGTGGAGATGGATAGAAGTAGACCTAAGAAGAGTTGAAAGGAGACAATTAGATAGGAGTGTCTAGATCTTGGATATTAGGGTGATAGAGGAGATTTTTCCGTCTTAGTTTGTGCTTGTTTTTGTTTATGTTTTTTGTCCGTGCTATTTTCCTTTGCCATTGTATTCTTGTGTTTTGAGCTGGGGGTCTCTTGGAAACAACCTCTTTGCTTTCAGGTAGGGATAAGGGTTGTGGGCATACACCTGCCCAAGACCCCACTTTGTGGGATTTTACTGGGTCTATTACTGTTGATGTTCTTTATTTTTTTGCAAGGAGAAATTGTTTTTTTATTTTTAAATTAAACAAAAAAGATAAAATAGGACATTTGCATTAATGCTGTTTTTTAACATTCTTGCAGAGGTAAGCAACCAAATGCTTGAACTATATGAACAGAAGTTTCTTGCCAGTGAAGCAGAAGAGTGTGCTGATGCTGTGGGTACTCAGAGACCAACAAATCCGTCCAGTGCAAATGAAGACCATAACCCGAACAGAAACAGCTCTCACAGTGGCACTGCTACATCATCAGAGACCAAAGCCTCCTCCCAAAAGCCAATCCCCGATCATTCGCTTCCTAATAATCATGGTAGGGCTGGTCAAAACTGTGACAATGACCATGCAAATTCTGAAAAGAACACAACAGACCGATCCATCGATGCTGGTGAGGCTAGTGATAAGCAGAACGATGGAAGTGGTGAAGAGAAGACAAAACAAATGAAGGAGAAACTGGATGGCGGTGGGGCCCTGGAACACCACCACATGGATGGGACGGCAGTTGGGCGGTCACCGCAAGAGGTCTTCATCAAGAATATTGACAAAGGCAAAGTGAAAGCAGCACTTGAGAGGAGCAGGAAATCCCGCGGGGGCACAACTAGGAAGGCCGATGTTTTGGACGACGATGACCTCATCGAGAGAGAATTGGAGGACGGGATAGTAATAGATGCTGAGAAGAGCAAGTGGGTGAAAAGAGAAAGTCGGCCCAAGTCATCAAACGGGCCAGAGCACGATCAAAGAATGATGATGACAAAAGGGGCGGTACAGCCCTTGCAAAAGGAGAAGAATAATTTGGAAGAAGGGGAATTGGATCCTTATGGGGATACCGTCGCTCACAAGGGGGCCCACCATTCGCCCAAGTCCGCTAACCGTAAGAGAAAGGCAAGTCCCCTCCTGCAGAGGGAGGGAAAGCATCGCCACCGCGACATCATCTATTCACAATCACTCGCACCCCCATCAGAATCACGCGTAAGGCGTTGTCCTCCCAGTAGTTAGATCTTCATAGATATGGTCGGTCGACCGAGCAAGCAAGCAAGCAAGCAGTGTTCTGCTGAAATGGTTTGTGTTGGGGGTAAAAACACTGTTGGTAACCTCTGAACTTGTCTTAAAGTGCATTATTATTGTGCTTCTGATTTCACTTCTACTTGCAGCTTTAATCTTCATTAGGTCACACAAACAAAATATTTGCGTGTCACACTATAATTGCTAATGAATACAATTTCTAGTCTTACTTGCATTTTCAATTAAAAAAAAAATTATCCTTTCAAGGTATATTTTATTCTCTTCACTACTATGAAACAATGTCCATTTAAGTTGGTTCTATTCCAATGGTTGTGTGAAGTTTAACGTTAATGAATGTACTTCGTATGCTTTCTTGCATTTTTTCTAGATGGCAGTGTGAAGTAATAAGTTAAATAATACAACCTCAAGTATTCCTAGCATTTTAATGTTTTTTTTTTAAAAATGAATGAAGCATTTTAAGGCAGCATTTTATTCCTTCACTTTTCTGACCATTTCATTTACTTTGTTCAAGGTGCTGCACGCATGGATTCAAATATGAGGGTATTATTACGTGTTGATGGAACGTGGGATACTTTTCGAAACTTTACTTCAAAGTATGACACTGTAATTGAAGTGCCTAATGAAACCTCACTAAAATCACTGATGGACTCTGCTAAAGCTGTCATTTTCATGGATTGGTCTCAAAATTATATTCGTTTCTCTTACATTGTTGCCTCGTGTCCACTACCTATTGTTCTTGCGGATGTTGCCGAACTACTCTTCTAATTTAAGTTGAAGTCTTACCAAAATGAGGTTATGCATGGAAGTTTTTCCTATTGCCACAATAGGAAAGCACCAATTGCAGTTGTGATTCCCCAAACATTGATTTCAGTTATGAAGCACCTGAGTTACATAATAATAGTGCGGTGGTTGAGAATTCGTCTGATACAAATCATCCATATATTCGATTGATTCTTTGCAGTACCCTTACCCGACTTATGGTGATACTTTATCTTCTAAAGGATTTCATATTCTCAATGAGAATATGAAACGATCCAAACGTACGAGACTTCCGACAACTTCTATGGATGTTATTTCACATTATCATCCTACAACAATTCAAGTTGATAGCATTCCAATCGATCGCCAAATCTCTATCGGGTCAATCAACTAGCCCTTTGATCGCCTTCTTATTGGCCCTATCTGGGTGGACCCCTTCTGACCAGTCGTTCATCCCTCCGTGGCGCGGCACACTTGTCCTACCGTCACCGAGTCAAGTCCCAAGCTGGTTAGCCATGGGTTTACACCCATCACTTGGTACCCAATCTGGTGTGATTATTTGATATTGTTCTTATTTTTGTACTCCCTACATCCTATTAGGACTTTCCAAATTCAAAGAAAAAATGTGTTGTCTATTATTTTTTCTCAATAATGAAATTTAATCACACTCTTCTAATTTCTTTGGTTCGAGAAAGCAGTGCAACATAGGCTGGTTTGCGTGTTTGTCCAAAATAGCCGGCCATCGGGCCCCTCCTAAAAGCTTCCCATTGATGGCACTGTGGATTTGAGTGTGTGGCATGTGAGTGTGGTTGTGGAAGTGCAGTGATTGTAGTAGTAGTGATGATGACAATGTGACACTGATGATGGCAATGGTAGTGTGGCGATGGTTGTGGAGGTGCTTGGGTAGTGCGGTTGTAGCTGTGTGGCGGCGATGGCGGCAGTGTGGCAGGAGTGATGCGGTGAAAGTACGATGGTGGAAGTATGGTGGCATTGCGATGATGGTATAGGTGGTGCAATCCAATAAGAGTGTGAAGGTGTAAACGTTGTTGTGGTTGTAACTATATGCTGGCAATGTAATGATAGACATGTGACAGGGCCCGTGTGGTTGTCAAATGGGTGTATGGTGGTGTTGGGAAACGGTAGTAGTTGGGATGGAAAGGGAAAGTTGCATTGTATGACTCCATACAATCTTGCTTTTATTTTTAAATTGTAAACAATATTATTTGTATGGTATTTTTTAATCAAAGGTATATTTGTCTCAATATAAAGTTTTTTTGAATAACCAGTAAAATAAATTTATATAAAAGTCAAACAACGATTACCCTCGATTAGAGTTTTTTTCAAATGAAATAACAGAGAAAACATAACACATTAACTTTGTTGAACTAAATCCAGCAGGGGCACAAAAAACAAATCTTACAATGAGGATAAATTTACTAATCATGTAAATAAGATATCCTAATGATGATCAATATAATATGCATAATTTAGTATGTTGTCAACAATTCGTTTACAACTATACTTACTATTAATGCATAAAGAAGCCACCATTTCGGATGGAGATCCCACCGACTTTGAGATGGTAGTGATAACAAGACAATCACTAGATATGCACTTCACGAAGTAACTATAGAGGGCAACTAAACCAGAATCAAACAGAAAAAGGAGAACACTTACAAAAGAGGGAGAGGAACACCACCATCAAAGGGGAATAGAATGAGATGCTATTTGTAGAGATTGCTATTATTTTTGCTTATGTGTTGTTGCTGGCCATGTGATATGATAATAGATTAGTTATATTATTTAATTAGTATTCTTTATTACTCCGTATTTTATAATTAATCCTGTTTAGGGTTTAGTACGGGCTCGAGCCCATTAGGTCAACTAGCGTAGCTTTACTATCTATATATTGTAATCCTTCCCCGTTATTCTAAAATCAATAAAGAAATATCAAAACCCTAATCTCATTCTCTATTCTCTTGGAGCCCGGAAACGCTCGATGTTTTCCATCTTTCTTTACCTAATTTTCTTGGAGCTTGAAGAATGCTCGAAGTGCTTCCCTATTCGATACGATATTTGTATCAATAGATTAGTTATATTATTTAATTAGTATTCTTTATTATTTTATAATTAATCCTGTCTAGGGTTTAGTACGGGCCCGAGCCCATTAGGTCAACTAGCGTAGCTTTACTATCTATATACTGTAATCATTTCCGTTATTCTAAAATCAATAAAGAAATATCAAAACCCTAATCTCTTTCTCTATTCTCTTAGAGCCCGGAAACGCTCGAAGTTTTCCATCTTTCTCTACCTAATTTTCTTGGAGCTTGAAGAATGCTCGAAGTTCTTCCCTATCTGATACGATATTCGTATCAATTGGTGCTTTCAATTGAGAGTAACACAAAAACAAAAAAACCAGTCGATCAATATCACAGCCCCGCACCGCCGTCCCAAACCCCTGCCGACCACCACAAACCTACGCCATCGCGCTCACTAAAATTCCACCATCAAAGAAAACAAAGGGGTCTATAGTCCCAAATCAGAAGACAAACCCTTTGCGACCAATTATTGGAGCAATTGTTACTTTAAACCAGATCTGTCGCAGTGGGCTCACGCCGCTGTTGTTATTTCCTTGGAGCTATCTGTGCCGATCTTCTCAGGATTTTTATATCGCAGTCCATATAACTTCGTGGGCAATAATTTAGGACAAAAAAGTGAGTTGATTAAATTTAAGTTGGCGGTAGATTGTTCATTGCCAATTTTTTGCTCGGGCTAATCATTACATAGTATTTTTTGGGTGAAGAATGTTTATCTCAATTGCACCATCTATAAAAAATGGTTCAAATTCATCGCTGCGAGAGGTATTTTTTGGTGATATTTTTGTGTGGTGTTTATTTGATAATGGATTCTATGCTGGAAAGACTTTTTAGTTTGCTAGAGAATGTTCTTTATGGAGAAATTGAGCATGATGAAGGAGTGTGTATAATTTTCGATCATGTGTATGAGTTTATTATGAAGCTGATGTTGATCTGAAATTTTGAAGGTCAAATTGATTATGATGTGCTCGACGTAGAAATTTTTTGCTCGGTACAGGATTTGGTTCGTGGACCTCTAATTGTGCCAAGTCAAATTTCTTTTGAGTTAAGTTTTCAGAGTACACATTATGGATATCGTACGGAAAGTGACGAGCGCTCTACTTTCTCCACCAACGTTGCCCCAAAGATGTGACGGAACCAAACCCGTGCAGTGGTTAGCTACGGTATGTGAGTATTTCCAATTTTATGAAGTCCCTTTAGTTGATCGTTTGATCTGTGTGACATCAATGTTAGAGGACTCTGTATTGGCTTGGTTTAATTGGCGTATGCGTGGAGTTTAATTGATGGTTGGGAAGATTTTGTTCAAAAGTTCCAGATTCGATTTGCTCCGCTACATAATTTAGATTATATTTGTTTTGAGAAGATATCGGAGAAGTCTAGAGACACATTTGCCCACATGATAGAAAACACCAACACACTCCCCACCCCGACTGTGGAGGACACAAAGGAACTAAGGGAATCAAGCAGGGAATCTTTTATCAAGGAGGAAAATGATAGCGGATCTAACGTTGTTGGCAATGATGGTGGTGTCATTAATGAAGATGATGGTGCTAATATTAACAGTGATACGCTATCCCACGAGTCAGATTCCACACCTCGTAAATTACATGTACCACTAAATGCCCTAATCGAGGTAGAAATGGCAACGCATGACGTTCTAGAAAGTGTCGACAAGGTGGACGGTAAAAATTGTAACCTAGCGGCCCACTTCATTTCTTTGGATACCATTAAGTTGTTTGATCTTGTCAAGTCTGAGCACTAGGTTTCAAAGAAAATGATTCGACGAAAGTTTGGTCTTCACTTTTATTTATGTCAATATATATACTTCACCCGAGAAGTTTCTTCAAGATTGGTCAACAAATGAATGTCTCTTCTGGTTCGTCACGTTCTCACATATCCAAAAGTAGAGTGGGATCTCCACCTTGTGGACAAGGTGGTTTTTAAGGAGGTGAGAATGATATGATAATAGATTAGTTATATTATTTAATTAGTATTCTTTATTATTTTATAATTAATCTTATCTAGGGTTTAGTACGGGCCCGAGCCTATTAAGTCAACTAGCGTAGCTTTACTATCTATATATTGTAATCCTTCCCCGTTATTCTAAAATTAATAAAGAAATATCAAAACCCTAATCTCTTTCTCTATTTTCTTAGAGCCCGGAAACGCTCGAAGTTTTCCATATTTCTCTACCTAATTTTCTTGGAGCTTAAAGAACGCTCGAAGTTCTTCCCTATCCGATACGATATTCGTATCACCATGATGCCATGCTTTTATTCGGAATGGTTCTAAATCACCGATGAATCAAGATTTAGGCCTCTAACCGTGTGTCTAAACTCTCAAGTCCTACCACAAAAGTGGAGGATACTTGAGAAGTTTGTTGGACTTATTTGTAATTCTCTTGATGAGATGTGCACCACAAAAGCGGTCCCTAATCTAGAGATTTTTCCCAATTTCCACAAAATTGAAAAACGGGTGATATGCTCGCTCTCTAATTCATTTCCCATTTTTCTTTATTCCTTTTAGCAATTGCATTGTTAGCATGAAATATCTAATCTAGACTTGTTTTTCTTTTAGTTTTTGCTTTCCATTTTTTAGTTTTGTGCATTGCATTAGTCTAGTTCATTTCACTTGCATATCATTCACCTTCCCCGTCTCTAGGTATTGATTCACATATTACAATTTAATATTAATGTTTAATTTCTCTTTGCACTCCTAACTAATCATGCTAACCCCGCGGATACGACATTCGCACTTCAGCACTACACTCATTCGATTAATTTTTGCATTTATCATTCTATTTTACATTCTTATCATTTTTTGATCGAGAGTTTTTTATGTCTAATGATGCGCCAAAAAATTCTTTGCATCAATAATACTTGTATTTCAGTACATAATTGGTAAGATAAACTTTAGATCTTGTTAGAGTCACACTAACTTTGACACTAAAATATTATACAAGTATTATATGTTCCACAAATATAACTTAATTAGGTCATATAAATAGTCATTATCTATGTATATTTATGAAATACAGAGTATCTAGTGTCAAACTATAGTGTCAAGTTATGTGCAAGTTATAACATACAACCGATTGTACGTTTCTTCATGTACAACTAGAGTCAATTTTGTGAGAAAGGTGTTGGATTGTCGTCACAATAGAGAAGAGACATGACGACGTTGAAGAAAGAGATAGAGTTGGGATATATGATAGAGAAGAAGGCGCGCAATCACCATCACTTCGAAACCCTGCCTGCCAGAAGGAGACAGAGCTGCAATGCGATGAAGGACACAGATATGCTTCGTTCAAAATCCTAGCTCAGATCTTCGCGGCAAGAAGTGGTGAGTTTAAGAAGAAGAAGACTGTTCGTAAATTTTGCATTGAAATGAATATTATGTTACCGTAAATGTATATTTTGTACTCCCTCCGTCCGGAATTAAACTTCCCGGTTTGACATTTCTTCATTTTTAATATGTGTTGACTTAGAGTGTAAATTGGCTAAATTGCCCTTGGTATCAATTTTGATTTACAACCCCACAACTAACCCAATTCCCATTTCCGCTAGCACTTGCCACCGTCGACTTCTTCTCCGCCCCAACCCCCACCATCACCAGCCCCATCGCCGCCCCTGCCGCGGCTGTCAGTCCATCATCACTATCAGCCATCCATCTTCGTTATCCCCCACCTCCATCACTCCAGACCCACCATCACCGCCGACCCCCACCACCATTGCCACAGCCTCACCGTCACCGCCAACCCCCACCACCATCGACTCAGCCCCGCCGTCATCACCGTCAACCCTACCATCACCTCGAGCTGCCACCATCGCCATACCTGGGAGAAATAGAAAGGAAGTGAAAGGGAGAAAGAGGAGAAGATGATGATGACGATGTTGATAATAATGGTGTAGATCTGCATAGATCTACTACAGATCTGAGAAGAACACCCAGGGAACGAAAGGGAAAAAGAAGAAGAAAAGGAGGAGCCAATTTGAGAGAAAGAGGGATGTGATAGAAGGGGGGTAGAGAATTAAAGAAGAAGAATGTGAGGAAGAGAAGAGAGGAAGTGGCTGGATGGGGAAGATAAAGTGAAAGAGAGAAGGGCCGAGAGTGTAAAAAAGAAGGGAAGATAAATGAAAGAGAGAATGCCAATTAATGAAAAGGGTATTTTTGGAAGAGTGTTGATAAAAACGTAGAGTGGGAAGATTATTTCCGGACGGAAAAAAAGGTAGAGTGGGAAGATTATTTCCGGACGGAGGGAGTATAATTTTAATGAGCATCATGCACTTATCAAATGTGTATGCCTACATTTTTATAATGCGAATGTTTCGACTAAATTTCAAAATAAATGTGTAAAATGAGAATTGTGTTGATCGCAAATGAGTATTTGACAGATGTACAACTAAAATGAAGAGCAAGTGAAAATGAACATTTAATTATTCGTAAATGAGTATTCGCTAGGTATACGAAGAGCACTGTAGACTCGAATGTGTGGTATAGGCACTCGAAGTTGTGACTTTAAAATATATTTTTCCCTAAGTTTTGATTCAGAAAAAAAGGATGAACCCATCATTTTTTTTAGAGGAATGCTAGGGGTACACCATTTGGGGTACCCCATTTGTACACCACTTATCATAGCTCTTCATTTCTTTTTTGATTTTTATTTTTATTTTCCTCTCTTACCTTTGTGTGGTAGAGATGGAGGGGTACAAATGGGGTAACTCATTTGGTGTACCCCTAGTATTTTTGTTTTTTTTATTAGTGAATATTGAGTACGAGGTAGGGAGTATTTTCAGTAATAAGTATAGTACATTGATATCCAAATCGAAGGAGCAGGTGTGATAGGGCGATGGAAGGCAGCCACGTCCAACTGCTGTTCCATTACTGGGATTGCTGTCCCTCTCCTTTCTTGACCTATTCTCACTTCTCAAATCGCCCCCTTGCAAGCGTATCTCACCGCTTTTTTATGCAGATCCTCAAATTGCCCTATTTCGTTTTGTTTCTCTTCCCAAAGACGCGGCGTTGTAGCCTCTCCCGAACGCGCCCTCCCCAGTTCTTACACTGTAAGGCTCCAATTCCTTTAATTCTTACTTCCGCGGATTGTTAGGGTTTATCTGATTGGTTTTGCGGCGTTTTTTGGGAATTAGGTCCAGGTTCATGCTTTTCTTGGCAAGCGGCTTAAGGATTTTGATTAAAATCTTTTCCATTCTTGTTTTTTTGGTAGTGATATCTGTTTAATTGCTATTTTCTTGATTTGTGAATTTGATTTCCGTATGAGATTACTTGCCGTTTGAATTGATATTACTTTAAGTTTTCTTCCCCAAATTTAATAAGTTGAAGTAAATCATATTTTCCCCCAAATTTAGGATGTCATTTAGGTTTTGATATGTAGATTTGATATTTTGTTGCGCCTTGCGCCCTTAGGCTATGGGCGATTGCTAGAAAGAGGTCAAATTATGCCTATGGTGTTGGAGGCGCAAAAAGGCTCAAGCCTCAGTTTTCCAATTTAAAAATTTGTCAATAAATAAAAGGGCAAACCTCGTCATTTTGTTGATATTAGCCTTTGGCTTTCGAGTTCTGACTTCTGGAACTCCCGAGTAGGGTTGTCTTCCACAGCAAGTTTTTCACTTCCCCAATCATTCCGGCCTGATGTTTGACCTCATGGTTGTGCTCCTGTTGTTGAGTTGTTGGTTTTGAGTACTCACCTTGTTGGACTTTAATAAATGCTTTCTTATAATATTTTAAAGCTTTATACCCATAGTATTCTTTTAAAGTATTACTTATAATTTTTCATGTTATCCAAAACACCTTGAGTCTTACGCCTTATGCACTAACGGCAGGCTGCCTCAAATTCACCCTACACCATCTTGAACAATGTAAACTTCAAATGTTCCCTGCTTTCATATCACATCAAATGATATTTAATTAGTTGGAAATTTGCTGTTTTTTTTAATTTCAAGTCATGACTGAATTATAGTTTTAGTTGTGCTGGTAAAAATAATAGAGAGATGTTATATTTCAGTCATGATGGAAAGTTGGGCATTCATTCTAATATTTTTCTGTTGGAAAAGTGTACTAGATAATGGATGGGAAGCGCGTCATAGTCATATGCCAGTTGGGTGGTGAGTTTGAGTCTGATAAGGACGGTTTACTCTCCTACAAAGGTGGGGAAGCTCATGCTATGGAAATTGATGACCAAATGAAGTATGAAGATTTCAAAGCAGAGGTAGCCGAGATGTTTAACTCATGTGTCAATAACATGTCTATAAAATATTTCCTCCCTGGCAACAAGAAGACTCTCATCACCATCTCCAATGAAAAGGACCTTAAGCGTATGATCCAATTCCATTGTGCATCTGAGTCTGCTGAGATATATGTTATGAGTGAAGAACCAATTGCTCCGAGTGTGTCTATCATGCCAGGCAGTAGGTAGTTTTCTTGCTGTCTAGCAACCCACAAGTTTATCCATCCTTTTCATAGATAAAAATATGTTGGGCGGCTTATCTTGCAGGTCCAGCCATACAACTCTATCGGAATCTTGTGTTCCAGTTGATGCTCCACGAAGTGTTACGGAGGATGTTGACGACCCTGACCACCCTGTCCTTCTTCTTGATGATGATGCCTTTGATATTGTTGGGGACACAAGCACGACTGCCGATCCTCCTGAAATCGAGATGTCTACTGAATTGCCTCTCCCTATTTCTTATGCTGTTAACTACAATGAAAAGAATGTGAGTGCTGCTCAGCAATGGCAGAATAGTATTACAGGTGTAGGCCAAAGGTTCAACACTGTACATGAATTTCGTGAAACATTGCGAAAATTTGCAATCGCCAATCAATTCGCTTTCAAGTACAAGAAGAATGATAGCCATCGTGTGACTGTGAAATGCAAAGCGGATGGCTGTCAATGGAGAATTCATGCTTCAAGGCTGTCAACTACTCAGTTAATCTGTATAAAGAAAATGAATCCCACCCATACGTGCGAAGGGTCTGTGGTCACAACAGGTTATCAGGCAACAAGAAGTTGGGTGGCAAGTATTGTAAAGGAGAAGCTGAGAGTCTTCCCTAATTACAAGCCTAAGGATATCGTCAATGACATCAAAGAGGAATATGGGATTCAACTAAACTATTTCCAGGCATGGCGGGGGAAAGAGATAGCCAAAGAGCAGCTTCAAGGCTCATACAAGGAGGCATACAGTCAGTTACCAATCTTCTGTGAA